CGCGCACCAGGGTTGCTTTCGCGTCGAATAAAAATTCGTTTTTTAATTAGCTCCGGAGATTCCTGAAGCTGTATCACAAAATTGGAAAAGTGACCTAAGTTTTGATTTCCGGTAGCTTGGTTTGCTAGGATGTGGCTGGAAAGTGTGCTGAAAATCGAAGGGTTCATTTCCCATTACAATAATTTTGACGCCGTGTAAATTTCAAAAGGAACTTCCGATAAACATTGACACAAGTTAAAAAAAAATCTGGAGGAGCAGTTCTAGAACAAAGGTGCTTTTTCAGTTTTTCTTGGTCAAATCTCTAAAACTAGCAAGAAATGTGAGCCAAGTCTTGATGTGGTTTCCTTGTGGCACTTTCGAAGTATTAAACGGAATGCATTTGGTATGCTATAGATAACAATCAACAGCTTGTCTATCTCAGTTTTGATGCAAAAAAATTTGACAAAATTTCATAATTATTTGATCTGCGAGATGAACGAGAACAGATTTGAGCCCACTTTTGATGAGAAATATAAAGCGCTTAGCGTCTGTGGCTTTTCTTTAAGCATTTTAACGAAGGCTTCTTTCATGACGAAGTCCGTGCAGTACTTCTCCAATAATTCGGACAGGAGGCGTAAAAGATAGGGCACAGAGTGCACAGGTACCAACAATAAACCTGTCACGTAATTTGGCAATACTTCTCGAATATATGCAACCGGGAGCACGCGTTCAATTAACTGAAACAGTTGCTTGGACAGTACACGAAAACTCGCCGCAGGAAAAACACAGGAATGAAAAGTGCTATTTTGAACCCCCCTCGTATAAGAAGAGGCGATGAGCAACAAAATTTGGTGAATTTGAACCCTCGGTCTGTCAACTCAGAAGGCAAAAACAGTGAATGCTGTACAGCAGCGACGGTTGTAAAAGTCGTTAAATTTGCTTTTGCTTAAATACAATGCACTTCTATTGCGTATTCGTTGCAGAGTCCAGAAGCATCAAACTTCTGATCTTGTTTCTGTTTACTTGTCTGGAAATAAACGCTCCGATGCATTAAAACAACTTACCACGTTCTGTAGGAGGAGTCTGCAGAACCGTACAAACGGTGAACGATTAAAACAGCACTCGGATGGAGGCTTGAAGAGTTGCTGTGCAGCGTAGCAGAAGGGATAGGAAGCAATCTTTGCGCAGTGCATTGCAGTAGCCTCGTCCGCCCTCACCAATTTGTACTGCAGCACTGGCACCAGTAGTTCACACCATCTTGTAATGCTATCACTGATCATCCTATGGTTCGACGCGTTTTTTGACATCGTCTATAAAAATATGCGCAAAATTAAGAGGCCAGCGCCTCAAGCAGCGTTGCGGTCGGAAGTGGCATAACGCCTAGGCGTTGAAAACAACAACCGCTCATCTCACAAGAATAATCTAACAATAAGCCGCTTAACGCTTAAACGCAAGAAGCATATAAATGAGCCTTTCTCTAACTCATCTAGCAAGTTAAGCGGACCTACCACTCTTTTCAACTTCTTACCCATCAAGGCATATGTAAAATCGAAAACATTTTTTGTCAAAGCAATGATTTCCATTTTTTTTCGACGTCCTGTGCTGAGTAAAATACACTTTTCAACCTCAGTGATGGGCAA